TATGCTTTTTGTTACCTGAGTTTCATTCAAATTTCTTGAAATTGAACTTCCTACACTCATCATCTTCTAAGACAAAGGGTTAATTAGAATGAATTCTTGGTTAATTGGGAGCTTTAATGTTAGAATTGACAAATTAGACCATGCAAGCTAAGTTAGAAAGGAATTGAAGGAATTTGGCCTTAAATTCGACATGCATGGCATGAAATTATGACATTATTGTTTACACCTTTCCCAGGTGGAAATAAGAACACTGCCATTTTTCTTCTTAAATCCTCTCAAGGAGAAACATAAGGCACCAAAGGGGAAAGGATTAGAAGGCAATAACATAATCAATAACAAAGAGTTCATTGATAATTACGCTTCCGTTTAACCGTTCATCAATGGATTCAGGTATGTCATTTTGTCTTGATTTCTTGATAATACACATGGTAAATGATCCAAAGTGTAAGGTTTATGTTCTGAAATTTATGTTGACAGTGACAACTCACATGGTACCTCAAATATGATATAAAAATATGATTGTTGTAGCATTGTTGACACACATAATTGTTGTACCATTGTTGACACACGTAAATTATACACACGGTTTACACGTTTCAAATTGTATATGAATTCCTCAATCAATTTGAGAGGAGTGAATATACAATTTTTTCCATCTTAATTTATGTTCAATTTATTAATGGGCATTACTAATTGTATTAAATTGACATAATGTGAATAATTAAAGAATAATTGATGTAATTGGAATTGTATGATCAAATTGACAAAATGGACAATTTACAAGGACCATATGTATAATTTTCCTAACAAGAAAAATAAAAAATAAAAATAGAGAAAAGAAAGAAAGTTTCATTTTTGAATTAAGAGTTCTTATGCAATTATAACATATCAAAAGTTGATACATAACTTAACATGTCATTTATAAGTAAACTGTAAGACTTAAATTGTGAATAATCTTTTTCCAATTAAAAAAGACCTTTAAATATTCATTTTTAAAGGATTTTAAATAAATTAGGGTGAATACAATTATAATTTTTTAAGGGTTAAACAAAAAACACTTTGTAAATATATAACTACTAGTATAATTAAAAGAAATTGAGGAGAGGCACGTGCCCCTCCTAGTCCCTTCTTCCCTCCGTCCCTGAACGGTGGAATTAGTTTTCCGAAATTAGTCGAGATAAGTGTAAGTTGACCCAGCCATCCAATTATTACAATAATGATAATAATAATAATAATAATAATAATAATAAACACCTATTGTTTATGTAGTGTTGAAAATTAATCACCTATTTTATCTTATTTCCAAGAAATACCACACAAGTAATAATACACGATACTCCAAGGATAAAAAATGGGAGCTGAACAATTTATCTTTAAAAATAAAATAAAACAAATTATATTTAAGAAAGACAATGGAAGAGCAAGATTTTGTAAGTTTCTTATTAAAATAAATCTAGTATAAAACCATCGACAACCTGGGGATGTAGCTCAAATGGTAGAGCGCTCGCTTTGCATGCGAGAGGCACGGGGTTCGATCCCCCGCATCTCCAATACCTTTTCCTAAAGTGTCCACTCAAAACGACACCGTTTTGATTTGAACCAAATTTTAGGAATCTTTAAGGCCCAACGCTAATAATTTGTTTCTCGGGTGCTTTGAACAATCTTTAACTCACCCCTCAATAATCCACACAACGGTCGTACAATTGATCTCAACAACTCACAAAAAAGGTTCGTTAATTCATTGACTTGCCAATTTTATTTTATTTTATTTTTTAAATACATCTATTTCATGATTTCATCGTTTTGTTATCTTTATATATATATATCGTAAATCTATCAGCTGTGTGATGATCTCTTGCGTTCATTTACGTATGTTTTGGTTTTGAATGCGTTCGTGTTTGCATTTCCCAACTGGGTTTTCAATCTTTGTTTGAATTTCCGACTTGCGAACTGGGTTTTGTTAGTTCACTGACTTGGCTGCCAAGTGTTTGCGTTAATGCCACTGACAATATCAGTGTTTTCTTGAATGCCAATGTGGGATGAATTATCACCACATATAACTGAAGCCTACTGAAAATTAAAATTAGGATGTTTTGAAACCCCATTCATTGTTTTGCCTGCCAAAATTTTGCGTTAATGTCACTGACACCAACACAAATCCACTCTAGTCTGTGTTACTTTCCACTTGGTGAATGGGTTTAAGTGTTTGCTTGAATGCCAATGGGGATGAATTATCACCACATATAACAGAGGGCTACCGAAAATTATGGGTTTGAGGCGTTCACTGTTTTGCCTGCCAAGTGCTTGCATTAATGTCGCTGAGACCAACCTAAAGCACTCTAGTCTCTATGACTCTCCCCTTGGCGAGTGCATTTGCGTGTTTGCTTGAATGCCGATGAGTGGTGAAATATCATCGGATATAACAGATTCCTGGTGAAAATTAGGATGTTTTGATGACGCAGGCTGAGTCCCATTGTTAGTAACTCTTCTTTGCTAAAAATGGCACTTGAGGGTTTTTTATTTTTATTTTTATGCCTTTTCACTTTTTTTGTGCCCCAGGTTCTGTGTAGCAACAATTATGTTCCTCACTAAATTTTCGCATCTTGGAGCTCATGTGATCAAGGGTTTAACAGGAGGTATTTTCTTGAATTTCTTTTACTGTGAAAGCTGGTATATATTTGGCTTAGGGTTTGGGGTTTAGTTCTTCTCTCTCAAGAATAGCTATTTTTGTCTATTGGACCAAATATGGATTATAAAGCAATGTGAATCTCTTTTTTTATGTTGATAATAGATCCATTAATATGGTCCAATTGGGATGTGCTTTTTATGCACCTGAATTTCTGTTGCATGTGGAATATAAAATTACTGCCCGTTCGTTGGCTTTGTAATGATTTTATGGCCAAAAACATTGTATAGTTGAGAAAGTTACATTTCAAATGCATTCTGCTGTTTTTGCTAAGAGGTGAGAGGTTGTTTGTTTTGGCTTTTTTTGTTGGATTGGGGTTGTCAAAAGTTTCAGCTAGATTTCTAATTTCAATATACGTTTTTGATTTTCAGTGAGATTGACTGTTTAAATTTGGATCTAGTAGTCTAGTGTTCAATATTACTGTCTTGGTAGCAACCTCATTTAAGATTCACGTAAAATTCAGATAAAAGCATGTTTTTATAGTCTATGCAGACGGGATAAGCTACCCTCCATACTTGCATCTCTCCATACTCCTCTTATGGTCATCCATACTCCTCTTATAGTCTATGGTCATCCATACTCCTCTTATGGTCATCCATACTTGCATCTCTCCATACTCCATACTTGCATCTCCCCTCCTTGTTGTAAGCCATCTCTCCATACTCCTCTTATGGTCATCCATACTTGCATCTCTCCATACTCCTCTTTTAGATTCCGTAATAAAGGTCATCCATGCAAAAAATCAATTTCATCAAACATTTATAAACACAAGTACAAATCACACTTTATTTTATAAAATGAATAGCAAATAGGATTGTAAACTTAAACCATTTATTTGGTAAAATAAAATGTTATATGTTTTTGTGTTCATGGTTGTCTGATAAATTTAATTTCTTATATGAATAACCTTTTTTGTGAAGCCTATGAAATAGACGGTTTGGATCATCAAAGTGAGTCCGAATTAAGGCCCACAAGAGGAGTATGGATGGGTATGGAGAGATAAAGTGTGGAGGGGAGTTTATCCCCTATGCATACATCATTGTGCTATTATTTTTGGGTCTTGAGCTTTGGGATTATTTAGGATGTTCCACGTTGCGTCCCCTTCCACGTAGTGCCAAAAACATTTTATTGAAGGGCATCTTGTGCAGTAGTCAGTTCACCATTTTTCCAATTACATGTGTAATTTACTTGTGAAGGCCTTGATTTTCAAGTACTTGGTTTCAGCCATACAGATCCTCCGAAGCTATCCCACTGTATCTGGCGCTACATTTCTTTTTACATCATCATGCACAACATATTTTATGACTCCATCAATCCATGTCATTTGGTCCTTTTTCTCATTGCAGAGATCAATGTATATCCTTCTTGCTAGTCTTCATTGTGCTTGAGGAAAGCATCTAAAATGACTTTCCTCATATTTCCCTCTTTTGGTTTTACAACTTACTTCTCATGAATGCATTCGGAGTGACTTCATCTATTCTTGTATGTTCATTTACTTATTTCAAATTCCTCATATCGTTTAAGCCTATTTATGTGAAAGCAAATATATGTGATGATTTTATTTTTTGATTGTATGTTATCTCGGACCATGGCATGTGGCCTGTCTAGTTTCCCACCTTATACTAATTTTTAGCTATTCAATAATCAGACAGCACTCTAGAAGCTCATCTCTGCTTCATTCATCCTGTTTTGGTTCTATTGGCTAGGTTCTGATGACACAATTGATTTATTTGGAAATTGCTATTTGTGTCCCATACACACTGCAGATTTTACAATCATTAATTCCCCTCACACGGTATGAATTTGTCCTATTAAGATTTAAGAAGAAAAAAAAAAAAACAGAGTGGAGTGACTACTTGGAATGTCATTAATATTAACTTGCTGGTGTTGTGTTATTTGTTTGGCCATAACTTGTAGTTGGACAATATGTAAAGTTGTGTGCTACAAAATTACTACCTAGCTTCCCTCCAAACTGTTACCGAAATTTGTTCCAGCTTATGCTCTTAAGTACCTTTAATACATTATGCTTTGATTGTGTGGGGTTCTCAGTTTGCCAGTTTTTTGTTGCCTTCCTTTTTAAGCTACATTATTGATTTATGTTGTTCAAATCTAGAAATGAACTCTTTACCTGCAATCATTAATTCAGGGTGACAAGAATTATCGTAATTTTATTCTTTATTTAAATTTTATTTTGGGTATTTGTCTTTGGCAGGTCAAACATCTACTCCAAGAATACCATATACACATCTTTTTCACAATCGCCATTTGCAGCATCTGGTTAGTAATAGCTTTTCCCAATTGCAAGTAGGATCCTTATCTTAGCATGCAGTTGTAATACAGTACGGAAAAACTATAGTTACTTATTGCTTCGTATTACCATTACCAGTAATGTTGTAACAGTATGGATATGTAGAATTGTGCATCAATCTAGTTTATTTTAACCTGGTAAGTCCATCAATTGTCATACGAAATCTGCTTGGTGATCTGGAGCAAGTACTGATTGGACTAGGTGGTTGTTGCATGTAATCGGCCCGAACATGCTCGAGTCTGATTTCACTTTTGGTTCTTAAAAGTTAAAATACATGAGAAATGAGGTAAAAAAAATGGGTCTGCAGGCTTACAACATGGCAGACAGAGGAATAACATTTCTATGTTGCATAGTTTGGGGAAAGGCAAATATAGAGTAAGTTTCTGCCATACTAAGGGATCCTTCACGTGCATATCTTAAATCTCTCATTTTATTTTACTTAGGCTTCATGTGATGTTCGGTTAGTTCCTCAATGGAACAATTAGATAAATTAGGCATTTTGTTGTTTTTATTATTATTATTATTATTGTTCCAGTAGAGCCATAAACTTGTTTTTGAACTGATATAGACTAACTGAAGCATTATATATCATTTTGTAAGCAGAAGCATCATTTTTTTTCTAGCACTGCTGCTGATAAAGCTCAAGAGGGAGGGGATGAAGATAAGGAAAAGTAAGTTTTTACTCTTGTACCTGCAAAGGAACATGTTAGAGAATTATAAATTGGATTGTAGGCTAAAATAGCTGTAGTAGGCTTAGTAGCTAAGTTGCCTTCGAAATTTGCTTCTTAGAAGACCAGATAACGTGGCGGATGAGTGCTGAGGTGTCCAAGATCTGTTAATTATAATGCAGATATCTTTGGTGTGTATGTATAGAAATATATATTTGATATGTAGATGTCTTTGGTGTATATTACATGAATAAAATGCCTCTGAAACTGCTATTCAAGCAACTATGAACAGTTAATAGGTCACAAAGGAGTTCATTAGTTTTGTAACTTAAACCATGAGATCAGGACTGGTTTAGGAAATGATGTATTTACTGTAATATAAGTGACCCGCTATCCTTGATGCTATGCAATATGGCCACCAAGTTTTAACTGACTGGAGTTTCTATGCTGATTTCTCCATGACCTTCCATTTGGTTCTGCAGAATATCAGTGACACTTATTGACAAAGATGGAGATGAGAAACAGATTAAGGTCCCAATTGGTATGTCCATGTTAGAAGCTGCCCATGAAAATGACATCGACCTTGAAGGTAAGTTCTCGAGGCAATGAATTATGCATTTGCTGCTTTACAAAATTATCCATTCTCTGTGGTAATTACTTTGAAACTGCTTTAAAGGGGTCCAAGGCAAACAATACATAGTATTTCACTCAAATTTTAGATGTGGTGATGTACCATCTGAATTCACTCAATTAATTTCACTTTGATAAATTAATTAATTTCCCTTTGATTACAGGAGCTTGTGAAGGATCACTTGCCTGTTCCACTTGTCATGTGATTGTGATGGTATGTTAATGAACATCCTTGTTTTTTAAGGCAAAATATTGTGTAGCTAAGGCCACTTTGGCGTATTAAGCACTAACATGTGATGTTCTTCCTGGGGGAAAAAAAGAAAAAAGAAAAGGAGTTGTTCACTATTGTTGATGCTGACTAAGAATATATTACAAGGGATTAATGGGTTATGGTATGAAATTTAGTTCTTGATACTTTTGATTAGGATATGGAGTACTACAACAAATTAGAAGATCCAACTGATGAGGAAAACGACATGTTAGATCTTGCTTTCGGTCTTACGGAGACGTAAGTTCCTAAATTTTAAAAATCATCATGAAATTTTTTCACTATCCAAGCTTTTGTTTAAGTTCCGTAATGATTTCCCACAGGTCTCGTCTAGGTTGTCAAGTAATTGCAAGCCCGGAACTCGACGGCCTCCGCTTAGCACTTCCTGCTGCGACACGAAATTTCGCTGTTGATGGATTTAAGCCAAAACCACATTAAAATTTTCTCATAGAGGAATGCTCGGGAGAAGCTTTGAGAGTGCTAAGGATGAGGCTGTGCCAGTTTTGTTTCATCTCGGTTGAATTAAAAGGGTCTTGAACCCTATTATAATGGCCCAGGTTTTTCTTGGGGGGGGGGGGCGGGGGGGGGGGGGGGGGGGGCCCTATTTATCATAATATTGTTCGGTTTTGTATGATTGTTTTTTTTGGGAGATATTACACTGCCGTGTATTTATTGGGCATTTTACTGGATGAATAGGGTTTGTTTTTCACCGACATTTCTTCGAAGGCCCATTTCATTGGTGTTTCTGGCATGATTTACTGGAAAAAGGACACATTTTCTGTTGTAATTTTTTGATAACATCACAATCTTTTGGTCTAATAACAAGAGTAAACCTTCTATTTAGTGTACATTTCTTCAAGAGCAATAAGTCGAGATACCATAGGGAAGACGCTCAGATTCTCTGAAAAAGGTTGGATTTGGATTTGGATTTGGATTTTTCTCGTTCCCGTTCAAAAAAAAAAAAAAAAAAATTGGATTTTTCAGTTCTCAACTAAGATTTGGATTTTTCAGTTCTCAATTGGGCCACCGTTGTGGTGCCACTGGTCAATAAAAGTTGCAAATGTACCAAGTACTGGTTTGGAATATCTAAAAAAATTTTAAAAATCAAAAAATTACTAAAAAGGTTAAAAAGTCATCACTATTTACCTAAAAAAAAATTAATTTTATACACAAATTATTACAACACAATTTGAATAGTCCTACAGACTGTTGCTGAGCTGAAATGATTTGGAAAAATTGCACAGGTGGAGTGTACAAACAACACAGTGTTGTTCGGCCCATGGGGGCTCATAACAAGTCCCGTTTGATAATCTGAACCGTTCAATATGTAGAACTCATCGAGTACTATATATTTGTAAAAAATTGCATTGATCGGATATTGCTAATTACATAATTAAATCAGTTTTGTATGAAAAAATGGATGGTGTTATAGTTAACGGTTGAAAAAGAAACTAATCCGATCAGATAACTATCAATATCCGATCAACGTGATTTTTTATAGACATATAATACTCGACAAGTTCTACACATTGAACGATTCAGATTATTAAAACGGGACTTCTGATAGCCCCCACGGACCAAACAACACCGTCCAATGTAATGCCCGAAAAGTAAGCAACCATTTCTTATCATCAATTCACTCCCCAAACGGTACGGCCTACTGCCTATTGTCCTTATCTTCTCCTACACACTAATTTATACAATTTTTTAATACACATTTTTTCGTAAAAAGTCAAAAATTAACCCAAACAACCATATTTTTTTCTTCAACTTTTTAGTTCAAAAATTCAACCCCTAAGTGGACAAATTTTATCTCCCATTAACCTCACATTATTGTTGACGTGGGTAGGCCCATAAAGGCCATAACCCACTATGAACAATCCCAGCCTACCACTTAGGGCCTAATACATAACCCAACTGATAAGGCCCAGCACTATCTGGAAGTCAACATGGCATGAAGGACCAATGATATTCAAACACGTAGCAGGTAAAGGGCAAGCCACATCAGCAGACAAAGATCTGCAAAGTTATTGCCACTGCACATCGCTATTAATGCAGCCCCTCACTGCATTTATTACGACAATACCTCTCCGTCGGGACAGCACTCCCTCACCCTGAACAAGGTAAGCTACAGCATAGACTTTTGGCCAAGGTGACAGATCGGAAGGGACAACGAAATGATTACCAAAGGATATAAGTAAACGTTGAAGACAAGAGGTAGGTTAAGCTTTTCTATCTCTAATCTATTTGCATATTTCACTCTCTCTCTCTAACTTGCTCGTCGGAGGGTTCACTGAGGGACTTCCCGTTCCCCGTTGAACTCTTGTGCAGGTTCTCTGGTGGGCTTGGTCATTCGGACATCAGGCTTAAGGAGCGTGGATCAGTCCAACTTGTCCTACCATCAAAAACTGCATCATTAGTTGGCGCCGTTTGTGGAAAAGCTTTGCTCCATGCGCAAGTTGTGCTCATTGTCGCCGAAGACCCTGTTCCAATAACCCTTTCCTACTACCCATCAAAGTGTATAGTCACGACTAGATCCATGGCTTCTCACCAAAATGCTGCCGACCACCAAGCTGACCCCCCCAATCCAAACAACCCACCACAGTATTTCATCGAGCTTACCAACAGCATTAACCGCATGGCCGAGCAAAACCAAGCCCTGATAAATGCTCTACTCCAAAGAAACCTTCCTATGCCTCCTCCACCACCTCCCGATATCCCGCCCAACCAAGAGTGAGCCCTGAGCCATACTATCCCGCAGCCCTATCCGCTCAACTTGGAAGGCTTGCAGCCTCTTCCTCCTAATATAAATCCACCACCCCGACCTCCGCATCCATCGATCCTAGCACCAACCCCTGAAGGAGAAGCCAGCAGCGTCTAACCCCCGCTGCCTTTCGGTGGTGATAATATCCCTCTCTGGGATGCCAAACTCCGAGCCATAAAGCTCCAACTCCAAGGGGTCATGCAGAGCATCCAACATAAACCTTCTACCACAATAAACTCACCATTTGTTGCCTCCATCCAGGACAAACCTCTACCCCCCAAGTTCAAAATGCCCACCATCGATTCTTTTGACAGTACGACGGACCCAGTTGACCATCTGGAGACCTACAGAACCCTCATGATCCTCTATGCATTCCCTGACGAGATCATGTGTCGAGCTTTTCCCGTGACACTGAAGGGGTCAGCTCGGCTGTGGTTTAGCCAATTACCAGCAGACTCTGTCTCTACTTTCCAGCATCTCAGTGACTCCTTCCTCAGCCATTTTATTGGAGCCTAGCGCCAGCGATGTCCAGCAATCCAACTCCTCAATATCCGTCAGGCCAAGGGGGAGTCGCTGCGCAGCTTCGTCACCCGTTTCAACACTGAAGCCTTGCAGGTAGCGAAAAACGATGACAAGGTCATCCTTACGGCTTTCATGGCCGGTCAGCGGTCGTCTGACTTCCTTTTCTCCCTCTCTAAAAATCCCCTGACCTCCATGGCAGCCCTATTCTCCAAAGCCCAAAAATACATGAATGCTGAAGATTCCCTAGCTGCCCGGCAAGATCCTATAACCAAAAACCCGACCCCTAGAGAAAAGAGAAAAGATTCAGACACCAAAAATACCCAATACAATAACCAAACGTCTCAGTACACTGACCGACCCCCCAGAACTGAGCGGTCAGTCCAAGCCTGACTGCCCGATCGGTTCGAGCGGTACACCCCCCTAAACTCCTCCATGGAATAAGTCCTCAATCAAATACAACGGGACTACCCCCTAAAATGGCCCCAACCATCGCGAACCCCTTCCAACTGGAAAGACCAGTCCAAATATTGCCGTTTTCACTAGGACCACGACCATAACACCGATGAGTGTGTTAACCTCAAGGATCAGGTCGAGACCTTAATACGTCAGGGACGACTTAGCCGGTTCACGAACACCCGCCCTCAGCAGAGGCAAAGGACTGAGCCCAACAGACATAACCGCCGGCGCACCCCTCCTCGGCAGCCAGCCCAAACTAACCAAGGCCATGATCGCCCCCCACAGCAACCTCAGGCACAAGGTAACCCCGCCCCCACCTGTTGGAGAAATCAGAGTTATTTCCGGTGGACTTGCTTATGGCGAACCATCCCGCTCGGCTCAGCGGGCAGAACTCAAGAAAATAAGGCAAGGCTCAGATAAAGAAATTGCCACATTGGATCGACCCTCCAAACAACCCAGGCAGTAGACCGAGCCTATCACCTTTACAGACGCCGACTGCACAGGCATTCGTTACCCCCATGATGACCACCTCGTCATTTCGGCCCTCTTCTCCAACTACAAGGTCAGACGGGTTCTCATAGACAATGGCAGCTCTTCAGACATCATCTTCCTCAACTGCTTCCGTCAGCTCAAGATCGGGAAAGAAAGTCTTTCCCCTCTCTAAACCCCTTTGGTCGGTTTCACTGGTGACCGGGTGACCTCTATCGGCTCCATCGATCTCCCCATCACCATCGGCGAGTACCCGCGGCAAACTACCAAGTTGCTAATTTTCCTTGTTGTCGACTGCCCCTCTGCTTACAACATCATCCTTGGCCGAACCGCCTAAACGCCTTCCAAGCCATCACCTCCACCTTCCATCTCGCCGTCAAGTTCCCCACTGACCTTGGGGTCAGCACAATCAGGGGAGAACAGACTGTGGCAAGAGAATGCTATGTTGCCTCACTTAAAGAAGTTAAGCTTAAGGAGACCATGATCATTGAAGGACTTGACGTCAGAGACGAGGATAAGCTAGTCAGAGGAAAACCAGTGGAAGAGCTTATCGAGGTCTCCATCGACCCCACCAACCCTGCGAAAACTGCCAAGATTGGCAGCCAACTGCCCTCACATGCCAAGGCCGACCTCACCACCCTCCTGATCGAGCACAACGATGTCTTCGCCTGGACTCACTCTGATATGCCAGGGATCGACCCCTCTTTCATCAGCCACCGTCTCAGTGTTGAGCCCCATTTTCGACCTATCCGCCAGAAGCAGCGCATTTTTCACCTGGAACGCAATAACCTTATTGCTTCTGAAGTAGACAAACTCCTTGAGGCACAGTTCATCACTAATGTGGACTATCCCAAATGGTTGTCGAATGTGGTTCTGGTTCGTAAAAACAATGGTAAATGGCGACTCTGTGTCGATTACTCCGACCTCAACCGAGCCTGCCCCAAAGACACCCTCTCCCTCGCATAGATCTGCTGGTCGACGCCACGGCCGGTCATCAAATGCTCAGCATCATGGATGTCTTCTCTAAATACAACCAAATCTTGATGCACCTATCTGACCAGGAGCACACCTCCTTCATCACCGACCGAGGCACCTACCATTACTGTGTGATGCCATTTGGGTTGAAGAATGCCGGGGCCACTTACCAACGGTTGGTCAATGCCATCTTCCATCACCAGATAGGCCGAAACATGGAAGTATATGTCGATGACATGCTGGTCAAGAGCAAGCTCTCCACCGATCATCTGGCCGACCTGCGAGAAACCTTCACCACCCTACGAAAGTACCAGATGAAGCTCAATCTGGAAAAATGTGCCTTTGGCGTCAGATCGGGGAAGTTTTTAGGATTCATAGTCAGTCAGCGGGGCATCAAGGCTAAACCCGAAAAAATCAAGGCCTTAATCGAAATGCAGTCACCCAGAACGGTCAAGGAGGTTCAGAGGCTAACTGGCCAAGTGGCCGCCCTCAACCGCTTCATTTCTCGAGCAATGGATAAGTGCCTCCCCTTCTTCAAAGTCTTTTGGCAAACTTTTGAATAGACGGCTGAATCTGAAGAGGCTTTTCAACAACTGAAACAGTGTATGGCTAACCCTCCATACTTTCTCAAGCCATCACGGGCG